CAGCCAGGACCTCCCCATCATGTACTTTTACCACTTCAATTGACCTTTGGTCAGATGTAAGAGATGTTTGGTGCCACCGGATAGGACTTGGTTTGGAATACAGTCCTTTGTTTGTTAGTTTGAAGTTTAAATATTAGAGTACTATTCCCTGCCCCTCATATTAAACTACCTGTAAATTAAAACCAAGGAAAACTCAACAAGCACGTCCCTACCACCTGCAGCAGGGTGTTTGCAGCCAGAGCTCAAACAGGAAGAGAACACAGCTCCTCTGCTAAATCAATATTTAACCAACCACCTGCTCCACACAGATATGCAAATAGCCCACAACCAACTAATTAAACAGCTCAGCTCTCTGTTATCAGGCCTGGACTTTGTTAGAACACCACCTCAGATAATCTTCCACAGATTTTTGATTAACAGGGCTGCAAACTACATATACATTAAAGTCAACCATATGGTCACGGCTCACCTGGGAAGCCCAACCATCTCCCCTCCACTGGGGCTCTGTCGCTACGCCCCAGAAGAGGCGGCAGCCCCAACGTGAGCCTTGTTCCCCACCAGAGAGGCACTCCTGAGAGTTTTGATTAAGGAAGTATTCCAGAAGACAGACGGATTTCAGATGGGTTTTCCTAACAGGGAAGACAAGGAGACAACAGATCAAAGCAAAGGAGCCTGGGGAGCTGCAGGAATCCCCCAGCAGAAAGGGAGTGGCCTTCCTGAGAGCCATTTGCCTCCTCATCTCTGTTCCCAAATGACACCAGAGACACGAGATCAGACACCCCATTGCGATCTTTTACCCTCTCTAATGCAATCCTAGGCGTTCAAGTACCTATAGGGCTGGCTTTGCATTAACTCGCGGCAGACCGTTCCACGGGTTAATTCTGTTGTTAAGACAAATTACAGGGTTGCCTGCGTGGCTCTAAAAAAAGTCATGAAACAGAATGAAACCAGTTAATTCATTGTGTAGGATGACATTATAAAACAAATGCATCCTAGTTACACTAAAGCATAACACCAGCCCTCCCCCCACCCCAAGTAACTACCTTTCAACTGTTGCTAGCTCCAGAATTTGAGATAAAGACATCTTACATCAAAATACATTTTTACTGTTAAGGAAACCCTATACCTTGGGATGGGGAAGAAGGTGAAGGGGTTAAGATCTGGCAGCAGAAATACCAGATGCATCTCCGGCTTACCAGATTTATAGATTTATTCTGTTAAAAACCCTGAATATCTACTTCTGCTGGGGGATGTTTCCCTCTATTTTTAGAACACCTCCGAATAGCTGCAGCTACACTTCTTGCCTGGCGCATTAATAGACACATGTACGTTATGTATCTGGGAACGACGTATCTAAAGATCTGAAGCTTCTGAGGATGTAGGTCCCCAGCGGATTAAGCCAGCCCAAGGCCCTGATGCTGCCCCCTCCGTCCCTGCCCAGCTCTTGCACGCTCCCGTAATAAGGCACTTTGGGAAGCTGAAAAAGGGAGAGCGGCGATTCGGTGTCAGCTGGATCAGCCGCCCAGCCCCGGCAGCATTTGGACAAACCTGTTTAAACAAACAGCAATGGATTAAAACTCTTCATGTTTTAGAGTCCATTCCTGAACTGACCTAAGCCTATCATATCCTTAACACATGGCAGCAAAGAGTTGCACAGACCTACAGAGGCATTTCTGCTTTTCCCCAGGGACTACAAACTACGACTCTTGGTTGCTACCCCGCCCGGCACGTGGCCATCACTGGCCCATACTTGGGTATGACAATTTGTATGTGGTTTCGGTGCAAGTCTCGGAACTCCTTCTGTAGAAAGCCTGCATCCATCGTCTTTACCTGGGAAGCGAAGGTCACACTTGAAGGAATTCCATAGGCTCTCCAAGGACATCTGCACTCTCAACTCAGCCGCAGGCTCTGCCCTCCGCATTTAACCTCTTCCAGCAGTGGCAAGAGCCCCTGTGGAAGGGGAGTTGCTCCTGAAGTCAAACTGAGTCGCCCCAAGCCAACAAGACCCAAGGTTAGTACAGTAAGAAAGAGAAGTTCCTGGCTGTGCCCACGGGGTCCGACCGGAGCGCCACCCTGCCAAGCCCACGCAGTCCGAGGCTGCTCTTCTGTGTTAAAAATGTTCATTACTACTTTGGTAGAAGCAGGGTGTTTTAATCTCCTGATTTAGTGTTTCTAGATTAGGGTTGTTCCCACACTAATCCTGTTCCTTAAGAACCTGTAACAATCATAAGAAAGGTGCAGCTTGACCAGATGATATAAATAATTATAAGAAATATGATAATATCTGTAAGAACATAATATAAGGGACAACATATAACAAAAATACCACTTGGGAAATCTCTCATTAAAAGAGGATTTCAAGATATAAAACATGTTCTACAAGTTGTTGTAACTAGATTAACAGCAAATGTTTCATTCGAATAATACCAATATTTTACTATATTTTAATTAACTGATTAGATTAATATTAATACAGTTTATGAAGTCATTACTGTCCCTGTTGTAAGGTTAAAAAATTAAAGTTGACAAAGCAGTGCACTGCTGCACTGTTACAGAACCCTCCTGTAGAAAAAGCTGACACTTACTCAAAAGATGCTGGCTCACATCATCTATAGATTATTATAGACAATGAAAACTTAATATATCATTTATCAAGTAACTTTAAATGCAAACATCTTTCAGCTCATGCTCATACATCTGCATGCCCAGTGCAGAAGCCAGGCCATGTTCAAAACCATCAGCATCCTGCAACAGACGAAGAGATGCTGCCACAACACTGGTCCGACAACTTCCTCAGAATGTCATTCCTTTGGGATTTAAACTCAGTACTGGTTTGGTTTTCTTTTTAATGATGTAACCAAAATGTTCAGTTAATCTAGACATGACAACAGAACAAAACATCTTCTGCAACCCTAAATGTCTGTATGGAACTCATTCTGTAGGTACAGCCAGTGCAAAGGGGTGACATGGGCTTAGACAGGTTTAAATAATCACTAACTAGGCTTAGTCAAATTTGGTTCTTAATTCAAATTTTATTTAGAATTTAAATTTATAGTTTAAAAAGTATGCACATTCTGTAGGTATAAAAGTTTAAAAAAATACATCGATTTATTGATAAATGCTTCAGGTTAAATTTACAGTTTCATACATTATCATTATATTGCAATAATTGTTTTGCATCTTTTAACACTTATAAAAATAAATTAATGAGATCGAATAAACCATTTGAAACCATGCTAAAATTATTCCTTAGAAAAGAGGGGTGAAGTTTGCCATAGCAATTCCTAATTCCTCGCTACTGTAAATAAATAACTCCTCAATTAAGTAACATAAGGAAGCGTGGGTTGGCAGAAAAGCACTTACCCACAGGGTGAATGGGAAGCCATGGCGGGGTGCCAACGTCGTACCGAAAAGATAAAGAGAATTAAGTTCCACCCTGCCAGCGACTCGGTGTTTGACTTCCCAAAACACATAACCCCCGCCTGTCCAAGGGCCCCCCTTCCTCACCAGGGGGGACCTGTGAGGACAAGGAGCCACTCTGCATCTCCTTTGGGTTAGAGGGACAATGAAAACATCTGCATGCCATTTGGTAACTATTTCTAACTAAATCAAGAATGTGCTTCCTTAACATGAAATGTTTAATTGCTCACCATAAATGACTAAAGATAAAAGACGATCAGAGACGATGGCGATAGCTCAACTTAGTAAGGTCGCAGTGAACCGCAATCCCACCCAAACCCCCAGGAGTAACAGCACTCCAACCATTCAACCTCATGTAAGGTTTCCATTTTTGGGGAGATTAAATTAAAAAAAAAAAAAAAGACCCCGAGAAAAAAGTAACTGCCTTTGCGCAGAATTTGAGTCTTGCATCTCCAGAGCCACAGCCCTTCAGAGAGGGCTCAAACACACCTAATTACCAGCAGCCAGACAAAGGCACCTCAACAAAAATACAAATACATGAAACTTGGGGGGGGTGGGATGGGAGGGGGACGCGGTGGAAAAAGTATTGAAACGTCAAGAATAAAGTAACAGGTTACAACCACAAACCAGAAGCATTTTTTGAAAAGTAAATACCTTTCAGATCTTTATATATGAAAAAAAAAAAGGAGAAAACAAATTAAAAAAGAAAAAAATAGAGAAGTGGTGGGGGTGTGAGAGAGAGTGTTAATCGTCAACACCTGCGAACCGATGGCCCTGCAAGACACAAGGTCATTTATATTAATCATTCACCCTGCCTCCTGTCTGGCCATGTTTCTGTGCATAAATCAATCACCGTGTTACCCAAGGGGTAACTTCATCCTGGCATCACTGAACACGTCTTCCTAGAAACGGGGACGTTTCGTAATTCTGAGAGACCTCTCCCTTCCAAAGGTGGCTACAGACACATGCACATTTATACATAGATATGTACAAACAAGGTTAGAAAAATATTTAATTTTTGCTTGTTTAAATAATTACTGGAAAGTGTTAATACAGGAATACATTAATATTTGTACAATTAAAACTTTATATATAAATATTATATATATATAAAGCATTTTTCATAGCAGCCATTGCATATATAGTAAAACAAGTCTATCTGAAGTCCATGCTGCAAAACGCAGGCCAAGCAGCGTTCATCCTCTTCCGAGAGGAACACCTGTACCAGAGGAGCTAGGGTTTCAGGAATGAGGAATTCTGCTGCCGCCGACAGCGGAGACGTTGCTTTATCTTCTGCCAGGTATTGCCCAGACTGCCTAAGTGCATAGTATTTTTAGGGAGAAATGCCACTATGTGGAATCACCTCATGGTCTTCTAAGGTTGTCTCCAACACCAGAATCAGGCCAACACCTTCTAATAAAAAGGCAGAAAGGTAACGGAATGGCTTAAAATTTGTTAATGCAAGGTGGGCCGTGGCCTTACCACAAAGCGTTCAAGGGCACCATCACCCCTCACATGGCTGTGGGAAGCCCGGTGAGGGGCATGGAGGCACTAGGAGGAGGCGTCATGCAGAACCGAATTTAATAACTCATATTTAGCTTGTTTTTGTTGAGTTCCCTTTCCAGGTTTCCTATCAGAGTATCAATGCTTTCCTGCAGGTCTTTGAGGTTTGCTCTGTGATCCACCACGGAGTCTATCGCTTGCATTGTCAAATAGCTCTGAAAGGTGTGCTCTCCGGGGATGGGCTGCGGGCCTCTTACCGGGGTGTCCGACTCCTCGGCTTTGCTGCCGTCATCCCCGCTCTCTGTGTCTTCCGAAGGGACGTCATCGTAGTCTGCCTCACTCAGGCAGTCTTTTGGGTTTAAGAAGTAGTTCTCCCCACAACTACTCCAGTCTCCAGCGTAGCGGTTGCTTGATGGGCTGTCTAGACCCGCTGGCCTTGGTCTGAGTACCCCAGACATCTCGGTACCGCTCAGGTTCAGCATCTGGGGTCTCTGCCTCTTGGGTCTCAGGTAATTCAGGGAGGATGGGTGCTCAGGAAATGCATTCAGATGTGATGGTTCGTTGGCAGGTGAGTGATGTACTAGAAGAGAGGAGAAGTTAAACCAGAGTCAGGGCTGAATCCGTCCTGCAACAAGAAAAGTCCACGCCAGGTGCCCGCTCTCCTCCCTCGACGTCGCACACTAACAGCATGCATGAATACATGCAAGCTTACAGCCAACACATTCCACTACTCTTTTCTGCTGCTGTTTGATATAAAATAATTAGAAAAACTACTGTAAAAGCTCAGTTTTCAAGATTCATGCCAGATTCAAACTGCAATGGAGAAAAGCCTATCTAAAAGTAGAAACTCCCAGAGCACCGATTAAATTCACTGCGTGAGTTAATCACCATCTGGCTCTGGGTCAGAGAAAAGCAAACAGCTCAGCTCACACGCTTCGTCCAGGCTAAAAGAGTAACAGAAAGCAGGCATAGCAAAAGAGGTTAAAACACAACAAAAATACCACCATGGAGAAACACCTAGAGAAGCTCAAGACGCACCAGGAGTTGAACTCTTGCGTTTCTCTTTTGCCCTAGTGTTCTGCGCTATTAAAAGCAGCTCATTTGCATTATGCATTATTTTTCTAAGCAGCCACAACCCCATGTCAGGCGTACACTCAAACGGGTTTGATGGTCAGGTTACCTGAGCTCACGATTACACAGCATAAGTTACTAACAGTCTCCTCCACTGTTACCGGCTTCCTACGGTAAACAGCACAAATATTTTTACTGACCTGTGCCTATTAAACGTCTGAGCTGCAAAACTTCTTGCTTTTAACAGACCATTACCTCTTGTTATTGGAAGCAGAAACTTTCTACTCCCATTCACCGTTGAAAACGTGGTGCACTCAAGGCCGCGCGGTTCACAGTCTCACCCACTCCTCGTTAAGACTCCTCACGCACCCGCACAGAGGCTCAGTCCCGAGATGTGCCCAAGGCTTCTCCTTCTGGGTCCGCATTACAGGTCTCTCCAGGGGATTTTAGTCTTTCTTAAAGTCTTGCACAGTAACATGCAATATTACTATAACAAAAGCCCTTCTGTTTAGACTATGCTCCATTAAGACGAGGGGCCATGGGTGAACAATAACTTGCCAGCATTACATGCTCTAGCCAAACAAGGACTATTTGTTTTCGGTTGGAAAAATACGGAAATTGAAGTATTGCACAACATGTTGATTATCAAGCTGTCTCAATCTACAGGAGATTAAACGTAAGGGACCAGACTGCAGCCCTTCCGTTGGGTCCAACTGTTGTGTTTACCCGCTCACGCCTCTGCATTCGTGTTTTACCTCCCTTTTAGTACAACGTCCTGCACAGTCCTTGCAGGCCGAGGGACCGCGTTCCTCTTTCTCTTCAAGGCAAAGGAAAGCTCTACTACTTACCCTACTCCTGCCCCCCCTACAGCAACACACCCTCCCATGGGCAGAGCTGCATCTACCTGTTTCTGTCTCCCACAGCAGCCACGCCGTAAGCTCTCCCCAGGGTCCCATGATCAGCTCCTACACAGTATTTGCTACCCAAACAGCTCTCAGTCTCCCCCTTCCTCCGCCCATGTTTCCCACCTCTCCTGTGCTGGCTCACTGACCTGACCGAAAGCTTCTTGTCATTTTTGGTGGTCAGCAGCTTTGGGGCTGTCCCGCTGCAGCTGACAAGGGAGCAGAAGCGTCCTCAATTGCCTCAAGACCATCACGGAGCTGCACCGAATGTCAAACTACCTCTCCTCCTGCTCTGATTTTCAGGCAGGGGAGGCTTCTGTGAGGCTGCAGCAAGCAGAGCTGACCAAGAGCGTGCTCAGCGTGTACTTGTTACGGCCAAGTCACTGGCAGTGACTCCAGGGCACAGCTGCTGTCAGGTCAGCAGGGTATGGAAAAAAATATAAAAGACACTGCCGTTTACATTGTCCACAAGCAGCTCTTCAAGCCGCCCAGCCAGTGGCATCCTTTCAGTGCCCGAGCTGCTGGAAAGCAACTCACCTGCTCAGCTGAAAATCAGAGCAAAGCCGCTGGCAATGTCTAATGCCAGCAAACTATGATAAATCAGACTTGGGGGGTGGAGAGGGAGAAAAATTAGACAACACAACCGAGACTATACTTGGGCTTTTTGCCCTCCAGTATATCAGCTGTCTACATTGACTCGTTTTCCAAACTCGCCTTTCCCATTGCTCAGAGCTCAGGGCAGGCGCAGGGGCTTGCTGACCGACAGAGCGGCTGCAGCCGGCGCAGCAGCAACGCGCCCCGACTCTCGCTGGCGCGGTCTGTGGCAGCAGGGAGGAGCCCGGTGATGCTCCCCAGGTGGAAACTGCTGGTGGAGGAATGAAGAAGTAGCCCACGATGGCTGAAATCACCATCTCACCCAGAATATTCTTTATACTAATCAGTATCTGATATACCACAAGAAATGGTTGAGCACTTGAAAGACCTCAGTGTGCTATTCACAAACCTGGCAATTCCGCTGCGCTCATCAAGTGAGCTTACAGCCAACTCTCCTCTTCTGCATTTGCTTCACTTGTCCTGATACTTCATAGTTTTACCCAAGAAAGGATTAAAACCTTCCCCAAAAATTCTCTCTCTCATAACTAAAATAAAAAGCAAAGCAAAATAGGCCCCCCAAAAAACCCATCTGAAAAATTTAAAATAAATCTCTAGATAAAAAACTTAACAAGTACTACTGACTAAGTAGAGCAGAGACTGTTTGAGATGACCTGCGTACTAACAGTACGGTGTATATTCCTATACTGGTTTTGTAATCATAAAACCCCTTTAATTAAACAGCAAGATCATACACCTTACATAGTTTGATTATGAGCTGCTAAGACAAAGACTACACGCTCACGTGCCTATCCTGCACTTTGTCTGCCAGCACACATTCATTTATACCTCATGTCTGGGAATAAGACAACAAATCCAGACGCTTTTTTAATTATTATATAGAATCTGCCAGACATAGGTCTTTGCCAACCCATGCTTACACATCAGAAGCCCTTCCAGAGCCCTCCAGAATAAAATGCTTCAAGAACCACCTAGCTAGGAATGGCAATTTCTCTTTATAACATTTGCAATGGGAGGAGATGACGGGAAGAAAAAAAAAGCCTTTTCCCAAACACTCTCTAAACGAGTTGGGGAGTGCTTTGTATCCTGAACACAGAGCAGCAGAGTCCACCTGGCTGGCTCAAATGCAGCCACAGCATCTGTAATTCAGCATTGCCAAGTCAGGCCCTTCGTGACCCTCCACATTCCCCAGGTGACCCTAAGTCTCCCATAAAAAGCAGACCTCCTCCTCTTCAAGTAAAAATGAAATAAATTGTAAAACAAACAATTCATTTAGATTAACTGTAACTCCTTTTCAAGTTTCAGTTGGTGCAGGAATTCAGCAGTTTCCCAAGAGCAATTCTTGCATTATTATTGTGTTCTAAAAAGGAACAATTAAGATGCTGCTTAGGTGAGCTGAATCTTCTCTTAGCCTCGAGAATTAAAGAGTTTACACCGCTCAAATTTGAGAAGTGGATATTAAATTATTCAGGTTACCAAACAGCTCAGTTCTCCGCGCCGTTACCCAGACCGCTGTGAAAAAGGAAGATGCTACAGCACAGCACAACGGACCCATCTTCTGCATGGTTAGGTAGCTTTCAACAACTGCTTGGCCAAAGACTACCTGAAAACAAAACTAAACCCATCAGATTGTATGTCCCAGGATTACCCTCAAACTCTCCCTGTTTAACTGAAAAGCTGCAACACCTCTGTCCGCTCCCGACTTGGGGCAGTGCTTGTGCAAGAGAAGGCCGGGGCTCAGCAGCAGCAAGGCACAGGAATTCAGCACAGGCTGAAACCCAGGGCTCCAGATGTCACCCCGGCTATTTCCACTGGCTTACGCCGCTCTCAATATCAGGGGAAACGCAAACACTCTGCAATCATTTCCCATTTGAAAGGCAGATCTCAGCAGAAATAGCTGCCTTCACATCTACTTTGGTAGCTTATTAGGAAGATCAGAATTTCACCTCCCTCCTTCTTGAGAATTGACCCCAAATTCTGCAAAAGCATATGACCTCTTAAGTTTGGAAGCGGGAGCTAAAAGGTACTTAGGGTGTTTCGGTCTGGGGTTTGTTTGATTGGGTTTTTTGCTGTGTTTTGTTTTAAAAACATTTCTCCTTACACAAAGCTCTGCAAAAACAACTAGCAGTTGCACAGCTCTTACTGTAAGGATGTTTACAACTCTGCCAGATTACAAGGGAAAACAATTAATGAATTCCATACACGGATAATCCTGAATGGTGAAAGCAGGAGAGCAGAAGAAAAAAAAAAAAAAATGTGGAAAAGATGTGGAAAGCTTACTGTCACTGGGTTTGTTTTTTCTAGTGTCTTTATGCACATAAAGCACTCCTCCACTTGTTACATTATACTCAAACTCTGCCGTCTGGTAAGAAAGCATTTAATGACTTCTCAATAAACAAAGGGACCAAATACAAGGAGTAGGTTATGAAATTGTCATGATTCCTTTAGATTAATAGGTGATGCCATAGTACCTCCTGTTTTAAGAATTCTGATGCTGCTCAGCCATCCTGTGAATTTGCATACACTGTTACACAGTAAAAAACATACAGCAATGGTTTGACATTTTCCCTTGAACAGATTCATGAAACAGTACCTGGCCACAGCTGGAGTAAGTAGTGAAGAACCTCTATGTGTTTTTTGAAGTCCAGGGCACTAGCAAGCTCTTCC